ACGATTTTTGATATTAGGAACGGTCATTAATGTTTTGAACACACGACCGAGACTGTATGGTATCTACCAACATGTATTTATTTTTAATTATTTACTTTTTATTTTGTATGGCATCTTAGCGTCAATAAAATTACAAGTAGGCAAAAAACTTTGATATCATTTCTAGATTATATAATTTATACTATCAACGTAGTCCAACGGAAGCGTAAGAAACATTAAACGAGTGTTTGTTGAGGAAATTCTCACATAAAATATTTGAAATTTACTAGATAGATCGTTGAATAATTCAAATTAGAATGTTCAAATATGTTTTTGGGAATTTATTACGTGCTATCATGCACTTCTAATTCTGTTATTCTCCTATCATATACAGTACATATATATATGTGCTTTCAAAAGTTAGTTCAAACTTATTCACTTTATCAATGATATATTTATATAATTAAAAATCAGTACTACAATATTTATTATTGACGTACAGAGATACTATTCTAACATGGAGAGTAGGAATACCTGTGCTATTTTATAATCTGTGTGTGTTACTTTAGTGCTGTGGAAAAGTTTTATAAGCTATCCCTAAAGGGTTGCAAAAATAAGAACGGTTCTATCCTATACTAGTATTCCAGTCTATCAGCCAATCACAGCCAAATAATGTGCCGGTGTATAATTAAAATTAAGATTGTCATTTGAGATATCAAAGAATGTCAATAAGGGATGCAAGAATGGTTCGTTTTTTATACCAATCCCATTCGAGGTCTGCTTTGAAAGAACACCTGCTATATTTACTAGGTAACATCAGATTAAAGCTTTTGCTAATATCAAACAACTCAAGATTTAATTTTACTCGTAAATATTTGAATTAACCTTTTGAAAGAAGAAGAAAATTAAGCTTTTGAAAAAGATTAGTCTTCGGTGATACATTTTTGCCGCTGGACAATGATCTAATTGTATTTAATAATACCTAAATAAATATTTCAGATTTAATTTTATGTATTATTCTATATTATGAATAGATCTGCTCAGATATTAGGAGCTTTGCGACAATTATGAAGACGTAAACAATTTGTATACCTTCATCATTTTTGTCTTGGCAACTTGGTAACATATATTTTATTAAATGAAAAGAACCATCTTTTACTGACACAGGTGATACATTGAAAAGTGTTATTTTAGGTCACCATAATTTTATCCTATCTTTTATAGCTTGTCAAGTTGAACTTTTTTAATTATTTCTTATTATAATATGAAATAAAGAAGTTCAAATGTATTATTAATTTCTATTTAAAATACATTTTTTTTTAATTAATTTGAATGTTTAAAATTCGTCAAGTTAATTTTGTTTGTAATATTAGTTTATTTTTCGTTATAAATTAACACAAGGTCGCACAGTAAATAAACTTATTTCAAATGTTGTAAAACTGAACGTGGTGACTGTTCGTCTAGGCTGGATAATTTTATAAAGTTTGGTTAATGAAATTCATTACGGTAAAATCTTTTTAATAAGTTATTAGATACAGAATGTTTGAAATGTTTATTTTCGGAAATTAGTTTTTGATATTTCGGCACTGTTTCAAGCGCTACTTATAGAGACGCAATGTCAGTTTAATTCATGTATAGAGGATACTTGCATTAAACTAAACGTTGCGTTGCCTTACACACAGAGGGTTTGAAGTAAAACTAGCCAGTCTGTTTTCTTATTATTTATAGTTTAGTATGCGATTAAATATATAGGAACTTATTTGACTGTTAATATGTATACACATACTATTTTTTCACGTCTATAGAGTATGGTAGGTAGGTGTATTAAACAGTGTGTCTGTTTAATACACCTACCTTACCATACTCTTTTACTAACCATAGTTTGGTCCCATTAACATGTACACCGTAGTTGTCACACATATCAGGTATAATGCCACATTTTGTCAAAATAGTTACAAGTTTCATGCAATGATTTGGTAGTACTTATTAACAAATAAAAGTTCCTTTGCCGTCGTCAACTTCGAGACCAAAAGCAACGAAAATAAGGGGGTATATAACTTTACAATAATTATAATTTACCACATCTCACACACGGCATTCTGATCCCAAACTAGGCAGAGCCGGTATTATGGTAACCAGTCTGCTGATAAATGTTTCTAAAAACATAGATATTACGGATACATATTACTGAAAAGATGTTAGTTAGGAAGGGAACTTAATAGAAAGAAAGGAATATTATGTATCATAAAGGTGGATTTCGGGTCGGAAGCAATAGCTCCAGTAGTTCAGGTGCGCACATCTACACATGGTGCGAGTTATACGTCTTTGTGCTCCAACAACTTTTTGTTGTTTAACATTTGACAGAATTCTGTTAATCAAAACTTTATTAATTTACTTTCTCAGATCTATAACATTTCTTCGTTGTTTATCTAACTAAATCGTAACGAGCATGCCAATTTAAAATGTACATATCAATATAAACACAGACAAACTTAGAAAACCTGTTATATTATTCACGAACGTTTCCTGTGTATGTGTGTCACACTCTAGGCAAGTTTTCTTTATTTTTGAATAGTTGATTTCTGTATAACATAATACCTACTACGAACATAATATTATGCCATTGAATGAAAATATTTATTCAATCGTACATTATTGTTCTGACAAGCCATTTGTGTATTCATAAATCGAAATATAATTTAATGTTTGATCATTTGTATTAGCTTAAGAGCAACCGATCCGTCTGATTATGACAAGTACTTCTTTTATTCTTACAACAAAACCTCCCGACAAGCTTTATATATGTATATATAATTTTTAGCATTCCTCGTGTTTACCACGCTTTTTATTGTCACTGCGCCGCGCCAAAGGGTCGTAGCGTGATGTTACATATTCTGTAACCATTCTCAATGATAACCAAAATAATTTGTTTTTGGCTAGACAGTTCTAGAAGTTAGAGATGAAAACTATCAAAGTTTTGTACTGTGCTTACGTGCGGAGTCACTTGGAATACGCTGTTCAGATTTGGAACCCATATTACAGTTGTTACTCCAATGAGATTGAGAAAATACAGAAGAAATTTATTCGTTACCTGGGTTTCAAATTTAAACTTTGCCACTTGGTCGATCTTACATATGAGCAACGCTGTGTAACATTACATCTTCTACCCTTGTATATTAGGCGTAATATTTCAGACCTAGTATTCCTGCTCAGTCTTGCTCAGGGCAAGATCGACTGCCCTAATCTACTCAGTATGATTAGGTTAAGAACACCCGTTAGAAGATTGCGTGACAACTCTTTACTTTATCTTCCGTCGAGCCACACCAACTTCAGAAAAAATAGCTATCTGCCTAGAGTTTTCACCGAGTTGAACAAGCTAAATAGTGACAGTGGTTTTGATCTTTTTAGTACAAGTAGTGGTAGTGCTAGATCCTATTCAACCGTCAGATTTGCTGATAGTGTTGCCTGCACTACTGCAGTGTGAGCTGTGACTCTTGGTTCTGCATGTGTTTCAATTTGTTTTCATCTATGTACATCTTTAGTAATTTAATTAGAATGTAACTTAAGTAGAATGTTTCTTGTGTATCTGTGGAAGCTTGTTAATGGCTTTTCAACAACTAAATTACTGATGTACTTGTACTGTAGCTGTAAGCTCCCCAAATAAAATAAAATAAAATAAAATAAAATAAAATAAATAAAATAAGTTAGTTAGAGAGATGAAAAAATCATCAAACAAACAGAACGTATGAACCTGAATGAATTTGATATAAATATATAAATAGATTTGACCGTAAATATCTAAGGACGCTGACACGTGACCGTATGTGACTTTTGAGACAATCTTTGTACTATAAAAAATAAAGGTTTCTACAAATATTCTGTTTATTCCGTTAGATTCCGAAGTGAAACCCTAAGATGAGTGGGCTATGTATGCTGACCTTTGAGGAGTTCCCTCGTTGGAGCCAATACTGGGCTTATTCGATTAAGTTGATCGCCTGGATCGACTAGAGAGTGATTGTCATCAGAACTGAATTAACATGAAAGCAAGATTTAAACAAATTTTAGTTTTGTTTATATATGTTACCGTAAAATTGTAAATACGTCAGATTATAGTCTATCTTGCGAGATTGTAAACTGTCGAAAGATTGTGAACTATAACATACTGCTTACAATTTAACGCATTACTTTTCAGTAGGTTCGTTTCGTTTAAACGACAAGAGACACAAACCTTCTGGTAATCATTAATTAACAATTTAAGTTAAGTACATTCAATGACGTTGTCACCCTTTGAAACTCATAACATCATTCAATTCTGTAATTACTTTCCTACTTTAAGGAAATTGCACAGCTCATGTTCTCGCCAAATCTTCATATCATTGTGTATATGTTCATATGAGACTCGTCATTCTGTTTTTATTTCTTTCAGCATTGCCCAATAGTTACGTGACATATAGAGCGCGGTGCGTCGCATCGTCTAAATTTACGTAATATGTACTCTAATAGCAAAAAAAACCAGTAAGAATGTAAACAATTGCAACATTGAACTGGATGTTCTTTGGTTTCGTAATAATAACGATTACCGTAAGAGACAACTAAAGTATTGCGTCAGGGTAATAAGTGTAAGATACTTCGTAGCACGACTTTAAGCTACATCATTAGCTTATTACACAGCGTTATTACATTTAGTCTACTTATTTCTAAAAGAAAAACAAATAAAAATCTTCTGTTTTCTATGAACCTAATTTTTTAGTGTAGGTAAGGCACAGTCACAGTCGGTTTCAGTGGTGTTGCCTCTCTGTCTTTTTTAGTTATCCTGATTTCTAAATTTAAAATCAAATATAATACATAAGATAATCCTTTGATGTACAATAAATATATATTATATATCCTCAGCAAGCATAATCATTAATATTTTTAAGTTTTATGAAAAATAGTTACCAATGTTAGTTTATAGCCTCCATCTACTCTCTATACGACTATGAGTTTGTTTTATTTTCAACTATTATTTATATACTTTTCAGTCATGGAGAGTAAATGAAGAAGGACCAGTGGTACAAAAGTCGCGGCTTCAAGATGATTGGGAGAGCGGGTCACCCGACGCATCTCCTAAGCGCCGAAGACCTGGCCGCAAACGCAAACGTCGTCCACAAACGGAACCCAATGAAGAAATCATAGCTCAAGAGAGATTTCCTTACCCCGACATACCACCTCGTCCTTATTACGATGTTGATTACGAAAATAGCCGTCAAACAACAGAAATGCCTAAAAGAAGACGCAAGAAACCTGCAGCAAGACCTATTCGATGGACAGATGATGATGTTATGATTGTAGAGAGACCTATGCGAAAAAATGCAGGTCGGAGAAAAAAAATACCTTCACTCGAAACGTGGCCTGAATTAAGCGAGTTCAGAGATACTGCAAATTTAGCTCAAGAAAAAGTAGAAACAGAACCTGAAGAAAATCCACATGAAATAATTGCTGAAAAGGTTTTTGGATACAATCGTGAAATAACTAAACATAGAACATCAGGTATAGAAGATCATTATGAGTCAATGGCAGCAGAAAATGTACAAGATACTGAGGAAACTTCAAAGATTCCCATACCAGTCGACAAGTCGCTATCTGAATTTTCAATGGAGTTAGTTTCGAAACCAAAAGAAGACATAGATCATGAGTCTAGAATCCATATACCACAAAATGCTGAACAGGAAGTACTTGAAGTAACTAAATCCATGTATCATGGACTTGAAAACCGTGAACTTGATGAACACAAATCTGTACATAATAATAGATTAAGAATGCCAAAACGCAAGAAGAAAAACCGTGGAGAAGATATTGAAAAGGATAAAGCCATAGAAAAAACGGTATGTATAAAATTATTACACCATTACAACCATGTTATATAAAACATCTGAACTAATATGGTGTTTGGGTGTATGAAGTGTTCTAACTTTATTCTTTAAATATTGTTCAGTTTAGACGTTTTGTCGAGCATTATGAATTTAATCTTGCGTTATAATATAACGTAAATGGCATGAAATTTCTCTTCGTCGAAACTTAAAATTACCTAGATAATTCTAAAATACAAGTTTTAAATTATATAGCTATTATGGTGTTTGGGTGTATGAAGAAGAGTAGAAATATTATTTAATAGAATTGTATACTACTAGTATTTGGCTTTTTCCTATTATACTTCTAGTTTGACAGTTATAATTCATCATCTGCCTACCCTTTTCCCAATTTTATTTGGGGTCGGCGCAGTATATATGATTTTTCCATTCTACTCTGTCATTCGTCATCTCACTGTTTACTCCCTTCCTAGCCATATCCTCACTGACGCAGTCCATCCACCTCTTCTTCGGTTTGCCTCTTCTCTTGTACCCTTCAACTCTCATACCTAAAACTTTCTTCGCCACATTTTCCTCATCCATCCTTCTTTTTTTAACCTGCTATCATTCAGCGAGCTAAAGCAAGCAGAACTGACTAGCCTGTCGCCACTGTATCCACTCCAGTGATAATAAGTAGTCTCGATAGCGTTATGTCCCGGTGCGCACCACTTCTAATAAAGACTTGAAAAATCATACACACATGAGGCATGCTACATCTTGAAAGAACAAAAATGTGAGGAAGCCTTGTTGTGTTCTTAGCATTTTTTTTTATAGCAGGATATTGCGGATAAAATGGTTTACCAGGCTAGATATAACGGGTAAGTATGACGGGTACTTATGTTCTAAGTTTATTCTTTAAATATTGTTCAGTTTAGACGTTTTGTCGAGCATTATGAATTATAATCTTGCGTTATAATATAACGTTAATGGCATGAAATTTCTCTGTGTGGCGAAACTTAAAATTACCTAGATAATTCTAAAATACAAGATTAAAATTAAAATATAGCATTTATATGTATATGTTACGAGTAAAACCGAAAGAATTTGTATTTACAGTTTTCAAAATAACGAAGTAATTATTAGATTTTATTAACATGTTATAGGACATCAATTTACTGAAGTTTCTCATTTTGAAACGGGAGTCAAGTTTAGGGGAAGAGACAACATCTGAAAACAATAAGCACGTTAACATCAGTACGACATATATTCCCAAGTTTAAGACCATGGAACAACTGAAAAGCGGACTAAATGCCCGATTTACCGGAATCGATGTACGTAAAAACAACGTTGAAATTGACATTCCGTACATTTTTTTTAAAGAAAAATACAAATTCAATTTTTGTACATATAGAACCGTAGGAACATGAATGTTGACTAATATGATTAACATATTATAGGATATGAATTATCTGAGGTTTCTCGCTTCGAAGCATGAGTCAAGTTTAGAGGAAGAGACCACAACTAATACTTATAAACAGCGGAACATCAATACGACATATATTCCCAAGTTTCAGACAATGGAACAACTGAAAATCGGACTAAAATCTCAGCTTAGCGGAATCGATGTACGTAATTACAACGATAACTTGGAAACTTCGTTTTCGAAAAGCTCCAGCTCTTATTCAACAAAATTTAAAACAAAGTGTAGTACATTTAGAACCTCAAGAATATGAATCAATATTTACAGAGCAATTTTAGTTAATAGATTTTGTGAGCTGTAATTACTAATATGATTAACATGTTATAGGACATAACTTATATCAAGTTACTTGATTCGAAGCATGATTCAAAATTAGTGGAAGAGACTACAACTAAAAATTATAGACACAATAGCATAAATACTACATACATTCCCTATTTAAGGACAACGGAACAACTAAAAAGCGGCTTCAAAGCCCGATTGAACAAAATGGACGATACACGCAAATTACGGCGTTGTCGCAAAAACAAAAAGAATTTAGTCAAGTCTAAATCGAAGACCAAAATTTCAAACACTAAATTAAAAAAAAAACATGTATTGAATGAGCCTGCCTTAGAAGTTTGGATGGATGAAATTTTTACGGTATTTACGTAGAAGATGCGCAAAAATTGTTCAATTTAATCACTGTGAATTGTAAATAGTAGGTTGTAAATAAAAATAAATACGTAGTAAACATGCCGTGTAGTTATTATTATAGCGCTTCTCAATATTAATTACATCATCGTACTAGTAAGTTGAATAGAGTAGTTAGTAAAGCTGATGACTCGAGAAGTTTCTTTAGATTGTACTTTTTGGGGTCCCTTACCTGCTTTGTACTAAGTGTCTTAAGTGTTTTTATTTCCAATAGTAATACTTTTATAGATCGTATATTAGCCGCTTTTATAAGAAATGATAATGTTCAGTTTTGATGATGGCTGGCTTTTTCTATTATAATTATTTTTATATATTTTCAGGACATCTACCCAACGGATCAATTATCTTTAAAAGACATATTAAAGAGGTCAAATGGAACTAGTTTAAGTGAAATTTTACAACAACATAATCTATCATTGGCGGATTTACTTCGTGGAAAAGAGCATGCAGTGTCAATACTAAAACCTAATAATGTGTTGAGCAGCAAATCATCAGAGAAAAACATCACAAAAGTAGATATCAACGAAAATTCAGGAGAACCAACATCATTAAATGGAAGTAAAATATTGGAATCTCTGTATGTCACAGAACCAACACCCGAACACTTTACCACAACAGAAGCTGTTCAGACAGATGTTGAACCCGAAACTGTACCGACTACTACTGCAAAACCCTTACAAGATAAAATCCCTAAAATGTCTACGAGTCGCCGATATCCCATAACCATTCGTAAAAAATTGCGCATAAGGCCCGTGAATAACACCACAAATATAGTCAAAGGACAACTTAGCCGTGACCTCATAACATTGAACTCAAGAAAGTACTCTAATTTTAGAAGAAATGCAACAAAATCAAGACAGTGGAAGGATATTATATCGACTATGATACGAAACAATACTAACAAAGAAAATAATAATACACTACTTGAAAAAACTACTACAGAATCCGTATCAGAAGAAACAACTATATCTAGTGAAATCTCAAGTTTGAATAGTTCATATGAAGACATGCACTCACAATCGAACGCAGATATTAAACTGGATGATATCAGCATGGACGTAACGGAACCTATAACAACGGAAACTACTACAGAAATGACTACAAACTATACCGAAAAAACATTAGGTATTGTTTCTATGCCAAGACCGACAGCAATATCTTCAGGTCTACGCAGACAAGCGCTCGATAACAGACTTAAAAGAAAACGTCTCAAGAATAAAACTTCTACGACTGAGCAACCACAGGACGATATCATTAAACATTTATTCGGAATGGGCACCTTAGTTTCCTCCTCAGAATTTATTGCAAGAACTCAAGGTACAAAAATCACTGAAGCTACCGACAGCACAGAATTATTTACTTTAGAAGATTTTATAACCACCGAAAGAGCAAGTAGGATTGACGGTAACATAAAACTAACAAGTATTAAAACTACTACACCGCAATCTTTAATAGAAACCACAACACCAGAGGCAGCGAAAGTTGAGATTGAAGAAATCTTTAGTGATACTGAAAGTAAGTAAGACGTTTTTAATTCCTGCCCAGTGTGAATAAACACATACTATTTGAACACTTTACATTTATGTACATCTAAATTACGAAGTCAAACTGATTAAAAATAAAAATGATTTTATATTTAAAAGAACTATACTTACAACTTAATCATCAAAGAGTACTTATGTTTAAAATGTATTGTTTTATTTTATTTCAGCAAGAGCCAAACTGTCAAGAATATTAAAAGAAAGAAACATGACCCTTAGCGAATTAGTAGAATTGAGAGAACGTGGATCCAGCCATATACATTTGGCTGATATATTCCACAATGCATCGAGAGAACCCAATCCAGCAGAGCCTTTCTTGTCTAAATCTTTATTAGAGCCAATTTCAAAAGAGACTTATCCATTAAGGGCTATTTTAGAGGCTAATTTGCATGATGCAAATGGTAGAGCTACGACAGTCGATCCTAATATAAATATTCCAGTTGTGATGGATTTCAGAAACAATGTTAATGAGAATGCTGAAAATATGGGCATTATGTCTCTATTTAACAACTTCTCTAATAACATAACTCAAAGAAATACTCCCACTCACCCTGAAAACAGAAATCTCACGGTAAAAAATGCATCCAGTGTATCAAATACAAGCGAGAACGTTCGAGAAAGTCGAGTATTAGATGAGGTTCAGGATGATGTCGTTAGCTGGAATGAAATATTTTCAATTATGGGTAGAAATCATAATGATGAAATAGAAGGTACGCATAAAATTAGATTTTTGTTACCCAGCACATATAGCCGCGCATTATTATATTTAAAAACATATGTTTTTTGGTTTTTCAGAAATGTCTACGGGCGAACCGTTTAAAAAAATCACAATAGAAGATGTTGACGGTGACGGATTAATAGTGTTGGAGGACTTGGAACATCTTACAGATTTTGATAACAATATTGCTTCTGCTTTTAAAGATAAATTAGACGCGCAAACAAACTCCGACGAAAAAGCTTCAGGCGTCCTGGATAAAATACCAAGTCACACGAAATCGGTAACAGTCGCTACCGCAAGCATTGCCGGTTTAGCTATGGTACTCTTTTTATTAACGTATGCCGCGTATAAATGGAAACATCAAAAACCTATGATACGGAAGCGTAGTTTTTGTGACGATCGAATACCTACACCTGTATTTGAGCATAGGAAAGGTCATAAGAATAACAGTAGTACTCGAAGCATCAGTCCCATGATACAGACCTCAAATATTTACACATTGAATACATTAGATTCACAAAACGGTAAAGAATCGCCAGATTACATGTGGGATTCCTTAAGAAAACCCTTTCAATGAATAATTAAAGTAGATTATATATTATGTTTGTTATAGACTGAATGGAGTTACGTTAATGTAATGTGTATATATATTAATAGGAGTCTTAGGTACTTACTACCTAATATTTGATAACAAATCGGGCAAAAGCCTCCTCGTTTGAAGTAGTGACCTGATAATAGTTAAGATTTTTAAGAATTGATGAATGTTACATTGTAAGCTATACATCTATGTATAATTGCGTTTCAGTATATAAAATAATATGGGGACATAATTATCAAAGGAAGAAAATTGTTCCATTGTTATATTGCACCTGAATAAGTATTTTAAATATTTATCTTATGTTATTTAATTTCTTCAGTATTATATTCAAGTGCAATATGATTATGTCAATTTATAGATGTTTGGTTATTTTCTTAAATTTTATAGAGTTTTCTGTGAAAATAAAATGAAAGAGTAATAATTTTTTATTTGGCTTACCTGTAGTTACTATAAGTGAATATCTCTTGAATCTTCTTTAATACTGGTATGTCCAATGAATGGATTTTGTTGTAGAAGTATGCATACTGCCTAGCGATACTCCTGTAGAGTTTAAGTGACGAGTCAAAAACAGGCGATGGCTGGAAATAATAATTTATTTTGAAAATACTAAGAAAAACTCTCCACTGTTTGACTACTTATTTCAGCAATATTGGTTTCCAAAGATAAAACAACAACTTCATAGAGTATTTGATAGTTACACATTCATCCCATTACGTTTTTGTTGCTAAGGTGCTGAACATTATTGTGAATTGCCTGTTAATTGCACAGAAGAGAATGTTGCTACAACTTACTTTGAGTTCAAGCAGCTCTTCAGTATTGAAATACAATATGGTTGAATATTTTTCTGGTAATATGTCAATATATGGTTTCCAGAAAGAGTCTGAAAAAAGATTGTGAAACATAATAAATAAATTAATATTTGTATAAACCTAAAAAACTAAACTATATATTAAGTTTAAATAATTTTCTATAATTCTCAATAAGTATTGTCATTAGAGAAAACTTAATTCATGTTAACATTTATATAGATCCTAAGAGATATAATGCCACCTGGCTGATGATAGTCCAAAAGGAATTAAAATAATTGCTCATGACAGGGAAATATGGAGAAATCAGACAAAGAGAACTGACCCCAGATGATTGGACAATTATTGATGATTGGATTGATTTATATAGATTTAAAAATAAAATCTAGATAAAGTTAAAACAATCAGTCTAACTCACAATCATGAGCACAAATAAGTTTTTAATATATAAATAACTGAGGCTTATCACCTCCTTAATGAACATAAAAAAGTGAGATTTACAAGTTTAAGAGAAACTATATAAAAGTTTGTACATTATAAGGGGGTACAGGTATTTTATGCAGATGTAGGGTATGAGTTATGGGTGTTATTATTTGAAACCCTGAATAATAAAGGAATAGAACCGAGGCAGATGCTAAAGGGATAGCTAGGGATGGAAAAGAAAGCTGCAGGGGTTCTGATGATGCATTTCCAAAGGTAGCTGTTATAAAAATATGGCCCAGAACATACAATGGACACTTAAGTCGAGTGCCATACATAACTTACTAATTAAATAATTAAAATAAATCCTGCTGTGCTTAAGTTATATATAAAAATTATATGTCGAAGATTCTTAAATTCACAGGAAAAGCATGCACAGGCACTTGTTTGCCATCTACAAGACATAAAATGAATAAGGTTTGTTTACCTGGATTATTTTTTTCTAGCAATAGGAACAGTGCAAGAGTTATATTTGGCATATTTTGAAGCAAGGGATCAACATTTATAAAGCTCGCTAGCTCAGATTCTTTAGCATTATTCTCTGTCAACATCACTTTCGATGGTACTGTGAGAATCAGCGCTCCTTCTTTAAAGTCTTTGGTTGCTTTAAGACCAAGTTCATAACCCTCAAACTCCGCAATTTCAATTCCTGTAAATGTTTCAAATGAATAGGTCAATAAGGAATTCATACATTTGTAATTATCATGCACTTTGAGACATGTTGTTTTATATCTCAACACTTATAGTTTATAATATTGTGGTAATAGGTTTAAACTTAAGTATGTATTATCTGTGTGGTAACAGGTTAAGAATATGGAGTGTCACCACCCCTATTTACCATGTGGGTGTGTAAGAGCCATCTAAAGGAGCAAACTATGCAGGACAACAGCAGTGTAAAGAGAAGGAAAACTTGACACAAACCCTATACCTAACTGTCTGGCCAGCATATTATTGTAGGCCAAAACCACTTTACTAAGAAATTATCTATGTCCAGCAGTGGCCTATTACACGCTGTTGATGTGATGTGATGTGTTAAGCTCACTAGACTAAAAAGTGGAGTTTATTTAAAAATTCTCTAGCCAGAAACAATACTGTTTGAGGTCTCATTTCAAAAGATAACATAATTAACTAGGAAACTGGATAATCTTTAATTTTACTTTAACTCTTTTATTGTACAAATATTCAGTGCTTAATAATATATAGTTAAGTAACATAGTTAACAAGCATACTAAGATGCTTTTTATGGCATGCACTGAAAAAATAAAAAAAATGATTGTTACACACACACACTTGTTAATATTTAGATTTAGGTTGTATTTAGAAAACATTTATTCTTCTTCTTTTTTCATTCATTTCTTTCATACCAATAATCTTAATATTCAGGTGCAACCACCTTATTCTTTACTTGTATTTTATTAGATTCTTTAAAAATTATTTAAGACGCACCTCTAATCTAAATATATACAAAATTTATGAATGATCACTACAAACACAATGGCTTATAACACCAGCTTTGGAGTTTAACATTACATGAAAGAAGGCTAAGAACACTTTTAGATTTTTTAATTGAAACTTTATTAAATGTTATTTACACAAAACTACTCAAGAAATCATCATTCATTCCGTCTATATACAGTGACTGATGTAACAGTACAGGATAATCATTAAATTAATACAGAATTATTGTGAACATACCATCCAGTGGAACCTCATTCTCAGTTAACCATTTCAAATACTTGTCAACATTTAACTTCCTCTGGTTATGACCACTTTTATGCTGAGAAACCTCTAGGTTGGTTATCTCTTTGATTAAAGCTTCAATTTCTAAATGATGATCCCAACTTTTTGTCACACTGGTAGAAGCCTGGAATATACTAGTCAATCGCAACACTTTGTCAACGAGCACTGCGAGTTCTTTTCGTCTTTGCTGTGTAAACTTGTTATTTTCTTTGCCACTATTCTTTTTAGATCCTTGTTTCGATTGCGACTTTCGACCCATTGTCTATATAAAATAAATACTTCTAAAGTAGAACAAACTATATGGTAAAAGTAACTTAATCTAAAACGTGGGAATCTAAACAGCTAAAAATAGGTCTCCAAAAATTTTGAAATGTTTTCCTTTCAAAAGAAATGTTTGTTATGTGACATTACATTAGGTGGTTTACATACACCACACACATTTTAGCGCCGGTTTTTTTTGCACCGCTTATTACCTACTTTTAAATATTTATAATTCTTACTAATACTTGCTGCCTTTGTAGAGATACTTTTACCTACTGTTTATGAAATACCTAGTTAGTGTAAGTCAAGGTGCTACCATCAATAATTATTTTATGGATTATGCATAACTACATTGTAATCCGATTGTATGTTAACTACTTTGGATTAATTAGTTGACTGATACTTTAATTCCTTTTTTATAATAGTTGTTTATTACAGACGGACGGGTCACCTGATGGAAAGTGACTACCGCGTTTATGTTTATAAACCGTCCGTTTCATTTAACGTTTATGACCTCATTCGCTTCTAATGTGTTGGATTTTTGAAAACAAAGTTAATGTGTTGGTAGGTATAACCTACTTAAGTTAATAGTGTAAATAATACCTAAACTACGAAACGAAGTATTTCGTGCAATATTGTACAAACACAGTTCTTTTCATTCCTATTTAAAAATTAACACGACATTTGGTATTTCGAGAAAACTTATATAAGTCATTTAATATCAGCAAAAGAACAAGGCCATGAACTCGATTGTATTGATAAACAAGTACAGGTGCCTTTTCGTGATATAAATAATAAAACATCATCAAAAATCACCACTATATTGGTGTAGGGTTGATAAATTTTCCAAATACATAAAAAGGATATAAATCGACTAAAATGCACCAGCAACAGTAAAGACAAGACAACTATTATTTCAAATCGTCTTATTTGAAACGTTATAATCTAATCGTGTCGAGGATCATTCTACTGAAACTCGATGTATCACAAGCTTTATAGCGCGTTCCGTACCTAATTTGTAGTATTCTAAATCTTCAGCATAAGAAAAACATGATTTGGATGTTTTAAAAAAAGAAATTTTCTTAAAATTCTTTACAACTAATTATTTATTTTCATATGTTTAAAAATGATTTTGGTTAGAATTCGTTAATGTGAGCGGTAACAGATTTTAACAAATTTATAAATAGGAGTCGCGTGTTCGCATGCATGTATCGCGCTTCCATCTTTCTCATCACTCAACGTTGCGTGAAGCGTCCATAGTATTTTGTACGACGTGTATTACGTGACTACCGTTTCACCATCGCAAATGTGTTTCTTAAGGAAATCTAGGTAAATGATTAAACAATCGGGGATTGGACGTAGCCAGCAGAATCATTCGATTATTTTACCGTTACATAATATGCCAGTTTGTTCACTGACGCCGCTTAGACCGAACGGCTTTTTTGTTGCTTTTATTTAGTTAAATGATGACTATCATCAAATAATTTATTTATAATGGATGATCAACCTGGTACTTCTGGGGATATGAATCGATTATTTAAAATATGTTTTAAAACGCGGAAGGTTATCTCACGAATTCAATATTCTCAAGCTTTAGAAAACTATGATTTTATCTACCTATACTAATATTATAAAGCTGAAGAGTTTGTTTGTTTGTTTGTTTGAACGCGATAATCTCAGGAACTACTCTTCCGATTTGAAAAATTCTTTCAGTGTTAGATAGCCCATTTATCGAGGAAGGCTATAGGCTATATATCATCACGCTAAGACCAATAGGAGCGGAGCACCAATGAAGAATGTTTCAAAAACGGAGAAAATTTATTACTATTGAGAGACGCAGACGAAGTTGCGCCGGTCAGCTAGTAAGAAATATTTTTGTTTATGATTATGGTGACGTGACTCAACCTCGCAGTCTAAAGAAGATGAAGAAGTAGTTTTGCCATTCATCATGCTCATATTTTAAGGTGGTAAGAGTTGACTATAGAGGAATTAAAAATATTTCTAGGCCTAATACTGCAAAGGTTTTGGAACTGCAAAAAATAACCTGCGGGTTATATAACTCTTGCGTTTCAAATCATTAAATTAAATATCCTGAAATAGATTTATTATTAATTTACGCTATTTACAATTTACGCTTCCTGAAGAAGAAGAAGAAATCAAAAATAGACATTTAAAGTCGGAGCTTGAGCTTGGAGTCTATCACCCTAATATTAACGTCAAATAATTTATTTGCCCTATATATTTTATTACCCAAAAATAAATTTCTTAATCATTCGCATTAATGAGTACCTACCTACATAAATCATATTTATGGAATAGTGAAATTATTTTGCAACGTCGGATTATTAAGGACAAAAAATGGCTGCTGAGAGAGTTGGAATGGACCTCAATATTTGCACTATTCACAATACGGTACAAGACACCCAGTCAGGGTATTAATATTCTGTGATGTCCACTTGACTCTTTAATGTATGTTATATTCACCGACGATAAGTCAGAAAACCGATTGGCTTAGGTTTAATTGGTGAAATTCTATTGTAGAGCTATTTTGCTATAAGTTGTTGTTAGCGAGAAGGTTGTGTTGTTATCGTGTAGCTCACTTCAAAAGGCAATATCTTATTTTTATTGAGATTTTTGGATGGTTTCCGCATCGTAACGGATTAAGAATACGGAGTATCACCACCCCATTTTATCTCGTGGTTGACGGAGCCGACTAAAGAAGCAAACTACGCAGGACAACAGCACTGCAAAGAGAAGCAAAAACCCTATGCCAAGCCGTCTGGCTAGCGTGGTATAGTAGGCTTAAACCTTCTTTTTAAGGAGAGCCCTATGTCCATCAGTGGACCTTTAAAAGCTGTTGTTGATGATGATGATTGTTGAATGAACCTTTACTAACAGCACGAATTTTATACAAAATTGTATGGTTCATATTCATTATGCATAATAGTCCGTCTGGCAATGACAGTGGTACAGCGAACACTTGGCACTGGATCGTGTAGTTCCCAGAAAAGTTATTTGAAATCGCCCCAGTTCTTAGGCCACGAAAGAATTGTTCACTAAATTAATTGCATTATAAAATGATGCATACCAATTTGAAGAAAATTATTAATACGTAGCCTTAGTGGTACACTGTAATGTTTACAATTAACCTAGTTGTATGTATATAAGTAATATATTGGTATTAATATTGTTTTTTTTTCATTTAATTACATTTTAAAATTGCCCTTTTTTGCAACTTGGGTTTTTTTTTTGACATGTATGCTATACCCGTTTTATTTATTTATTTTTTAAATGTAATTAAATATTATTTAGGGCATACTAAAAGTTTCTGGATTCTGATAAATAAGACTAGATATAAGATTTAAGATATATTTCTTGTTTTTAAGAGTATATTCACTCGCAATTAATGCATAACGAAACCACTGTACAAAGCAGTTGGATCAGTCTCTTCCTTAGGGCATGTCTTCTTCCTTCAATTGCTTCATGGAAGACATTCACCGCCGATTCAGGGGTCGTTAAATGTGTGCCTCTAAGTTTTTCTTTAATGTTTGAATACAAAAAGATCGCAGGGTGCGGGGCCGGGCTGTAAGGCCTCAGTTCCACTTTTGAAGCCTTCAAATAGGCTTTTGTTACCTTAACGGAATGTGAGGATGCGTCATCGTGGTGAAACTATTTTTTTAACAATGCTTCGACTTTTCAAATTCGTCAAATCTTCAAAAAGAAAGACCCACTCTGCCGACTGGCTTTGTCTTTCGGGTTCAAAGCAGTACACCCAGGTTTCTTCACCTGACTATAGACAGCCAATGACTGTACTCCGTTAAACCTTTTTTATCATTTTACGGCACTACTGGACACGCAGTCGTTTCTGTTTCTGCACTTAGGTCATTCCAATGCCTGACAAAGCACGTAATTTTTTTGTCAGTTTCAATAAGTTGTCGCACAGTGTCAATATTAGAGTCTGTAACTGCAGTCGCCAACCGACCTTCACGTACCTCGTCATGGAGATGATCACTTTTACGTATAAATTCTCCAAACTACGAATACACAGAGCTGCGACATGGTGCATCATCACTAAATTCCAATTGAAGTCTCTGGCAACTCTCTAGTTGACTTAAGCCACAACGAAAATCATAAAAAATCATTGAACAAAAATGTTCACGAGTTAAAATCATTTTGATAACGACCCACAACTTTCGAAAATACGTCACAATTAAAAAATAAATGACAGTCTCGCAAATTAAAAAGTAACATGTTCCCAAGGAGTTAAATTTTCGAATTCCATAATTGTTTTTGCATTATTTTAATATAAGTGGCCCGATCCAGAGACTTTCAGTATGCCCCACGTATATTTTAACCCTACAAGTGTTTTTTTGTTCTTTTTATGTTTTAAATATTTTTTAAACCAACGGAAGATGTCAACTACAAATTTTCACGGGCAGAAAAATTGACTGATGGGTGATCGGGTCAGTCGCGTCGATTTCTGAATTAATTAGGGGAGAGTGGGGTAATTACGAATACTTAAGGGGAAATTGAAATTAAACAAAACCAGATTAAGTTACGAATGTCATTTATTACTTAACATTTACTTTAACTAATGAACCTTAAGTTCTGATAAGCAACATAGATAAACTTTCAATACAGAAACGAATATTAATAAGAAAACAAAACTATGGGGTTCGGGATTACCCCACAACACGTGGGGTAATTACGAATGGTGTGTGGGGTAATCACGGACATAATCTAATCATCACACAAATCACATATAAATCCTTTTGATGTACTTTCACCACTCGTACACTTTTCATGGGCCCATAGATTACATTTGTAGCATTTTATCCAATCATCATGTGAAGGATCTTCATATTTTTCATCACAAACTAAGCAAAAATACTCATTTTCTTTCGCATCTCTTTCTTTGGTTTTCTTTTTCTTAGCTTACAGCTAAGAAAAAGAAACAGCTTAGCATTTTATGATATGTTCTTCTAATTCTTCTTCCTG